TTGACGGAACTATGCGACACTAGACGGCACTAGGCGACACTTGACTGCACTATGCGACACTAGACGGTGCAAGATGGAACAAGGCGGTACTAGGCGATACTTCGGGGTCCGAGACAAAACTAGACAGCACGAGACTACACCAGACGGCGCTAGGTTGCTATAAGCAGCATTAGGCGACACTAGGCGACACTTGACGGCACTTGGCGGCACTAGGCGTCACTGGAGTGATGGTCTTAGCAAAACTACTCCAAAATTCAACAGTCTGATTCTCAAATTGTTTTATTCTCACTGAAAGTGAAGTATAAATTCAAAATGCTTGTTAATTTCTCAGATGTGTGTGATAGAAGAAGACTTCCTATTCCTCGGTTCTCGTTTGGGCAACTCGTTGCTGTTGCGTGTGACAGAGAGAGAGAATAGAATGTTGTTCTCTGTTGACAAACCTCTGGAGGCTACAGTTGATCTCACCATGACTGAAAATGGTGAGTAAATAGTACATAATAGATTTAAAATTAGAGTACACTCTCCCTTAGTGCCTCTAAAATGTAATTTATGACTACTTTGTTAACTTTACAAAATATTACCCTTTCTATGCCCTATAAAGTTTTTCAAAACTGTAAAAAAAATTAGATTTTATATAAAAAAGTAGAGTTTTGTTAGTACAAATCCTGCTTCAAGGACCATATTATTTACAGACAAAGATACCCCCATAACTGTAATAAGCACAAGTAATAAAGAAGCAGCACAGAAGGATGCTCAAGACCCTGCTGCTAAGAAGCGAAGACTTGATACGATCAGCGACTGCCTACCCACTAATGTTATAGAGATTAGTGATAAAGATGAATTGGAAGTATACGGCTCTGATATACGGACGTCAACACAACTTACCAGCTATGTGTTTGAGGTAAGTTTTAAAAAAACCATAATACTACTGGATATTAGGCACATAATCTCTTTGGTTTGCGATATAGGCCCACAATAATCTTTTTAATGATATTTTAGATTATTTTGTTAGCTATGTTATTTATATAAGCTTTTCCCTGCTATTCCGTTTACGCGAAATTATAAATGTAATGTACAGGATGATTCTTGTTTGTAAACTTTTTTTTCCAATAACAAGGTACGAAAGCTCAATTATTAGGCTAGTACAAGAAAAAAAAAAAGATAACTGTAAAATAATTTATTTGTGACGTATGGGCAAATTTCAGCCGACAATTAAAAAAAATGTGGAACATAGTTTGGGCTTACATTTTAGCTTACTGTTTTCTACATCTATCATCACCCTGTATGATATGACTTTACTCTCTCCTTTCGCTCTTGTGTCCTACAAGTGTCATGTCAGTTGAGATGCGTGTGTCAGGTGTGCGACTCTCTGCTCAACATCTGTCCTATCGGGGACATCTCAATGGGGGAGCCGCAGCTGGTGGGGGAGGAGGAGAGACGCGAGGGCGCGGAGCTGGAGCTGGTCGCGTGCAGCGGCCGCGGGAAG